GTGATCTCATAAGATTATATTTTTACTGTACCTTTTCTACATTTAGATATATGTAGGTATACAAATACCTTACATTGCAATTGTAATTGTGTTAAATTACAATTACTGAATACTGCCTACAGTATTCAGGACAATAACATGCTGTATACAGGTTTATAGCCCAGGAGCAATAGGCTATACCATATACCTAGGTGTATAGCAGGCTATATGATCTAGGTTTGTGTAAGTATGCTCTATAATGTTTGTACAACAATGAAATTGCCTAATGATGCATTTCTCAGAACGTACCCCTGTTAAGTGATGCATGACTGTATAAATATACATGTATCCATGAATGGATATTAATTACTATTGTTAGGAGAAAACAAGATTTGCCCTGGAAACTTAAATATTCAGTAAACCATGCTATAAACAGATGTGCTGTCATCCAGGCTTTGTTGTTCCATTAATATAGGGCAGAGTAGATTGAGCATAATTCCTAGGATTTTTGGAATGGTAAATGAGCATGAACTTTTTGAAGACTTCTCATATTGTCAAGCTGTGACTGGTTGGCATCTTAAAACTTTACCAAAAAAAGAAAGCACAAGAAGGAACTGAAAAGGATGTATGAATCCCTTTTCCTTCCTTTAGCTCCTCATATGACTTATACATTATAGTAGTAACTTAAAAATTTACTGACCAAATAAGTAAACAACAGTACGATCCATGTGTGTATGTTTTGTGTTTGCATAGTGGGACATGTGCTGTGGACTTAGCCGCTTTAAACGCATGATTAAGTTCAAGGGCATGGCTTTCCAGACAGTTGAATTCTTTCTAACATAGTGAAAGTGAATATATTTGAGATAGCACTGCTGTCTCTAGAATGCACATCTTCATAAGTAAGAAACTTAATGCAAAACTTGATAGGAAAAAAGAGTAAAATAAATTGCTTTGCTAGAACTCGTAAGTTTGCTTAATGTTTATAGAAGATTTGAGACTAAATTCTGATCTATTTCAAATACATGTACAGATGTTACTGAAATTTTACTGAAAACTTAAAAGCATTGATGGTTAAACCATGTTTGATTTTCAGGTTGCTGAGCTGTAGGGTGTTAGGAGTAAATTTGACTAAAAGTTTCAGGCCAGAGAGACGAAGGGTGATGGAATTTTGTGGTGTTGTGAATGATCCAAGTGAAGTATAAGTAAAGGCCAGTTGCTTCTAAAGACTGACATTTTACCAATATAGCATGTAGTATGTGTTCTTACAAATTACAGGGCCATTGTTTTGAAAATTACAGACCAGTTTCAACATGTTTTTTAGGCAGCTTAATTGTGAACCAGAAAGAAGGCTGGTCATTCTTGGATGTTTGAAATGAGCTCTAATGATTTCCAGGCCCAGAGAAACCTTTGTGCTACAGCCACTTATCATCAGAAAAGGGGATGGGCCTTTACATTTTTTGCGTAGGCTTAAATCTCCCACTGTCTGTTGTAAGGTTCTCATCTTATGGCTGCCTTCAGAATCTAAAGGCCCCTCAGCTAACAAGACTTGGTTTTAGGCTGAGAGGGTTACAAATTATGAGATAATTGGCCTTAATTATTTTTATGTAAATCTATTTGGAGTCATTACAAAGAGAACCTTATTTTTTGAGAGGAGTTAATAATAATCATTTGCTATGGTGCTAGTTTCTTCTACTTCAAAGACAGTAATTATTATAGAGTCAATAACTTTTACAAAAAAAAGTTCTTCTGAAGAATTAAGCATTAAATTCACTGAAGACGGCCATTTATCGAGTACCTACATTTTATAAAAATTGTCAATTCTGTAAAAACCTTGAAAAGATTGCTGCCAATAAACAGATGACAAAACTGAGGTTTAGAGAGGTTAAGTAACAGCCTTCGTCACTCTTTTAGTAAGTGGCGCGATGAGGGTGTGATGCTGGGTGTGCTCTACCTGCATTCTTCCCACTGCTCCCCACCGCCTGTCATGGCACCTTGCCTTTCAGGCGCCGCGCTGCTGCCCTTCCGGTACGAAGTGCGTGGGTATGGTTAGGAAGAACAATGTGTACATGTTCACAGAAATGTGTAAGCATGTATGTATTTTCTGTTTTAATTAAACATTAAAAATTTAATGTATCAAATAACTGGCTTAGCAGTATGATTTGGCATTCAGCATAGCATTACTGAATCATTACTTTCGCTAGGAGAACACAAGCTGACTTATTTTAATATGGGTTTTAGTTTAACCTGATTCTATCATTCTCAGATTCCTTAATATTTCATATAAATTGCAAATTTGTATTAAATGTATTTTAGAAACCAAAGCTCTTTAACATACTATGTTCTAAAAGATTATGAGAGAATTTGATGTTAAATTGTAGAAAGTGTTAATGTCTGTGCTAAAAGAAGGAAAAAAATGAGGCTTGAAGTATTAAAAGAAAGATGGAAAGAAGAAAGGTCTAGGGAGGTAAAGACAGACCCCCCCTTTTAACTCTAGCCATCAGTCCCAGTTTTACCAGTCTGTATTAATAATTCTATCCTAAATCAGAAAATGGAGATGTATTCATTTGAAGTTAGCCATGCTATCCCCCGTCTCTGCATTTTGTACGGTTATTGTAGAGCTTGATGTCAGTTTTTCATGTTTATACCTATTTGATGAGTGTATTCTTTCTGTAATTGATACACCAGAGGTTTAAGAACCTTTATCTGTTTTCTGCCTTATAGCCATTTAATCTTAAGTGTGTGTCCAAGGTTTTCCAAATAACGTATCGGGCAGGTGAGTGTGGTTCACACCTGTAATCTCAGCACTTTCGGAGGCCAAGGCAGGAGGATCAGTTGAGCCCAGGAGTTCTAGACTAGCCTGGGCAACATCGCAAGACTCATCTCTATAAAAAATACAAAAATAATGTATGAGAGATTTTGACTTACTAAAATTAGCTGGCATGCACCCTGTGGTTCCAGCTACTCAGGAGGCAGAGGTGAAAGGATCCCTTGAGCCCAGGAGTTTGAGGCTGCAGTGAGCTAGGATTGGACTACTGCATCCCAGCCTGGGTGATAGAGCAGGACCCTGTCTAAAAAAGAAATTTGAGATATACAAAAATATGCCTTTAATTCTAAAAGTAGCAAAAGAAAAAATGAAGCTGCTGATTAAAATCAGTTGCAGATCCTACTTTTTCAAGAAATAAAAAACCAATGCATTGTTACATAAAATCTCGGATTACCCTCTATGAAAACACAGAATAAAATTGGTCATTTAACATGATGTGTAATTATTATATATTTTGTATTCATAGATCTGGTACTAATTTGGAAACAAGCATTGTTTTCCTCTCAATTCAACAAATATTGATTCCCCACCTATTCTGTACAAGATGCTGACGTGGGGCCTTGGTTTGGACTTCAGAGCACATCTCCTCGTACAGTTTGAAATCATTTCAGATTGCCTGTCCAGTTGTCAGGAAAACTTGTTCTGCTTCAATTTCAGTGATGAAGAGCGATACAGATACAGGGAATATGCAGAAAGAGGCTACGAGCGCCACAGAGCGAGTCGGGAGAAGGAGGAGCGGCACCGAGAAAGACGACACAGAGAGAAGGAGGAAACCAGACACAAGTCATCGCGAAGGTTTGCTCTTTAATCGAACGACGAATCAATGTAAAGCTAAGAGAAGGTCATTTAACTTCAGGCAGTAAAAGCAAACATTTCCACATGACCGGTAGAACATATGTGTTCCTCATTGGAAGGTTCAGAATAACTACTGAAATTGGTGGTTCCTCATGAGACTTCAACAAAGATTTTTAAATCTAAGACTACATTTAATACCCCCAAACCAAAAGTAGCATAGAACATTAGACTGACTCATTAACATTATCTCA